TAGTATGAGTTATCACAAAACATTTAGTAAATTTTATGGAAGGCAAAAAAATAAATTATACCCACAAATTACAAGGCTATGAAATAAATCGCTGGAAAAGTATCGAGCAGCCAGTTAAAAACATGGTAGATGAGATAAATCTGACGAAACCTAGAGCTAAATCTAAATACCTTTAAGAAATAGGATTTCCAGATTTATCAGTGGATTTTGTTATAAGTTTGTGCTATAATAAATGTGCTTCTTTCTCCTGGATCTATTTTCATGTTATTGGCAAAATATAGATTTTTAAATAATTTTTTACTGTACAATATATTTTTGCTACATTGTTTTTCTACTGCTAATGCAGATTAAAAGTAATAACATAGATTTATTTTGGCAATAAAATGCTTTCCTTTTAATAACATCCCAGAAAATATTGTAAGGCATATGAAAAATAGTATGTAATAATATAGCATCAATGATCCTACATCTTTAATACATCCCCTTATGCATACAGAATTCACACTGATTTCTGTTAAAAATGTGTGAAGGTGGCATGCAAGAAGGGCAAAGAGGCCCTTATGTAAATAAAGACATAGTCATTTTTTAGAGGAATTTAAGTGTTCCAAACATAAGTGAGAACAATCACAAAGTGTTGAAAAGCTGGAGGCCTGTCACCGCTGCTTCTATGGTTCTCCTTTTAACTCTTTATACTTTTCTAATAAGGAAGAATCAACGCATTCAACTGTCTGAAATTTATTGGTAATATTTTCTATCAAAACAAAGCTTCCTATGTGCTGTGACTCCTCATCCCACTGCTGTTCATTCTTATGTCTCAGCCATGCAGGTGGGAGTTAGAATTCTTCCTAGAGATTAACCGATGAGACACGCTCTCATCTTTGCATAGCACTCCGTTATATGAAACATTCAGAATTAGATAGACCTGGTTGCTATCGGAGGCTGTATCGCACTCAAGACAGACTGTCGTTATGAAATAAAGCACTAATGCAGGAGTTCTGTCCATATAAACCAGTGTAACTGTTTTGACTAAGCTAATTGCTTCAGTCAGCAACAAAGTTAGCCTTGTTGTCTAGCAGCTATTGTATTTACTGTTTTCATTACTTACAATAGAACTTTTCCTTGTGCCTTGGACACAGTCTATGCAAGTTACTTATTAGCCATTATGGTATGGAGAATATTCAAAATTAGGAGGAACTAACGAAATGGATTTTAGTATATAATTTCTGACAAAGTTTTCATTCATGTAGGCATTTAAGGATGAAATGTACATAATTTAAAAAGAAATTAACATGCATCACTTTCCTGAAAAAGGTAAAAATAGAAATGGGAAAGAAATAAGGGCTACATATGTATTTATTTGAAACGATGATGGAAGCTTGTTTTAATTACCGGGGCATCAATAATAATGTATGTCCTTACCTAGTAAGTGGCTAAGTTATGCTCTGGGCACCCACTGGAGAAATCAAGACTCAAAAAATCTGAATTTGTAAACCAGCTGTGTTTGTGCATCAAGTCTCTGCAATTGCTTTTTTTGGACTTGGAGCTACAAATTCTAACAAGTTGCACACAAAGCTAATTTTTATAATGCGTTTTGTTCCCTGTGATGATTTATTTGTTAAATTAATCATGCCTTACGATAAACCATAAACCAAGACCAAAAAAAAAAAAAAAATCTTCACCAACGTGGAAGAAATGAAGGGAGACAAGCATTTTGGAAAGTGATTAAAATCTAAAGGAAAAGCATATCTGGACACTTGATTCAATCAGCTTCGCAGTAAGATCAGCAAGAACAGCATAAATTTTATTACTATTTCTTGACAAAGAGTTTTCCCTTTAAAGACAAATTGTCTTCTCTGTAGAAGAGGTAGTATAAATAGCTATATATAGGGCAACTCATATGGTATTACACTGTTTTAGCAAATATGAAAATATCATATAACGGAGAAAATGCGCTAACATGCAAATTAAGATTGCCTAGAAACATTCTTAATTGACACCCTGGGCCTCAACAACATTTTGTGATATGTTCATTTAAAGAGTCAAACATAAAAACCACCTTCTGGCCTAATTTCTTTAGTTTACTCTCTTTCATTGCCCCCACTTCCTATTGTGAATTTTAAGGCCCCCACACAAAAGACAAGTTCAAGTATGCAGGTATGAATGTTAACATTTCAAAAATACATTTTGGAAACAACAACAATAATAAACAACAAATTAAGGGAACAATAATTGTCTCAGAATTAGTTTCACCTTTTTTCAAGATTCATTTCATTAAGGACAAATGCAATGGCTTGCACAAAATTAAGACTCTTATTGCAAACATCAGTCTAAACGGTTAACAAGTTTAACCTTCTAACAGATCTGTATACAGATAAGAGCGAATCGTGAGTCACTTAGAAGCACTTCTAAGTGTTGCTTGAAATATTGACATAAAACAATATATGTTGTTGACTATAACATTGGAGTCACATTACAGCCTTCTCACATGATAGCCTTGAGAGCTGACATCAGGATTGACACATTGCTTTTCTTCTTTTTTCCAGCACTACATTCTAACATTGGCACATGAGTCTACATTATTAAATGCTGCTCGGAATGACAGAATTCTATATGGTTTATACTACAAGCTAAAACAGCCTCAAAACATTTCATGACTTGTTTCTCTGGCTTATAATCATTTGCTATATTTAAATAACATCACAAGAAAATATTTGTGGAATGTGTACTTTCTGAAGATACTCAGTATGTGTGGCAAAAATAAAGCTTTCCATTTAGTATAGATCTGGATTTTAGTATAATTTACACAATAAACTCTAAGGTTTAAAAAAAAGTGGAAAGATGGGTATTTCTTATTTATTTGGAGAGGATAAACTTACTACAGAATGAAGGTGAAAGAATATAACAAATCAAAGTAAAATTTTAAACATATTCATTAAGAAACTATATCTTATACCCCTTCTAAGATTGTTAACTTTTGAGTAAAAATGCAAAGCAAAATAAGAATGGACACTTGATGGTAAATGATAGGTTAGTTTTGTGCAAAGATATTGAATGGGCCTCTGTCTTTACCAGCATGACATGGAAGAGTACAAACAAGGCTTTGGGAGGCCTTTCAAAATAAGTGATTTGATTTAAAACAGCTGAAATAAGATGATAATCTTGTTACCTAGGAAATATATGTAAATGCTGTTATACCTACCTGCCATAAAATGTATATATCATAAAGTATTTAAATGACCAAATTGCTAATGCCACTACAGAAAAAGCTGAACAGCTGCCTAGTCTACATTGATACACCTTGGTGTACTCTTTGCAATTAAATACTTTAGTGCGCACAAACAAGAAACCAGTAAAGCATATAGAAAAATGTTTTGGCTAATGTTTTCTTTCTCATGCAAATATGTGCTGTACATGTAATAAATATATTTTTGTTTGCTGGAAAATGCTTTTTTGTGTTCTAACAAAGTATTCAGTAATGGCAGGTTATATGTTTATTAAAGTGCCTAATGGATACAGCTCTTTTAAGTCTTAAACTGAAAGTTCAGTCAGCTTCACTAGGTGACAAAAGAACCTCATACCAGTTCTCACATGTTAACTTGCAAAATTTACCAAGCCCATGTTTTGTAATTATATCAAATGTTTGGGATGACTGACAGAATTATAGGCATCCTCATAATTAGCTAAACAGGTTCATGTGTGGTACTCAGGATGAATACAGGAAGGGCACGAAGTGAGGCTATGAAGAGGTTCAAGATACAGATAACTGATCAAGAACATGGACTGTATGTTCATGATCAGAACAATTACTAACTGGTTCATGCTGTGAGAGAGTAGGTATTGAAATGGTTGAGTGATAAAAAATAGTTTTTGCTTTCAAAGTAGGCTCTAAAACATGGACCAATACAAAAAAACTTTATGATGGGTTTTCTTGGGGTTTTAGAAACTGCATTATGTAAAGACTAGCATATATTATATAAAAAAGTCATTTCCAATAGTTTCTTAAACCACAGGGAATCTAAGGCTTCCTTAGTGAGACACAGGTCACCATTTTATAATTAGAGCCACTGGGGGAAAAATAAACTGAAAACTTAGTAAGGGGTTCTAATGTTCATTAGAAATAAGGCAGTTCAACCTCCAAATTCTTTATAATCCTTGCATTAAGATTGCTGTGATTTTATTGAAAAAATGTATCTTGAATCTGTCAGTTTACTTTTGAATGGAAGCTTTTAAACTGACCACTTGTTTTTACTTCTTTCAATTGGTTGTTTTGTGAAAAAACCAACTTTCAACATCAAAGTTGAATACATCCATGTCAAGAAGTCCTTGACATGATTTAAAGAATTTGGTGAAGATCTAGCACATTCAGACATTCAAAGACAGACACTGCATGAAGCAATGAAAACATACTCAATTGTGCTTGCAGGAAACACTGACCCCATGTTTGTATCAGGCAGGATAGGTAACTCCCCACCTGGAGATGTTCAGCGTTGTGTTCAAGAAGGACCTGAGCCAGATTCCTGCAGATTCCTGAATGTATGTAGTGATGTTCAGATAGATTAGAAGGGGGAAATACCACCCCATTTTCCGTTCGATACAGACAGCAATGATTGGGCTTTCCTTGAACTTTCTCTCTCACTTAATCCTGAATACAGTTTTAATTTTTTTTTCAAACATGCTAACAGTACTAACTAAACAAAACAACAACAGCAAAAAAAGCAAAATGCTCTGAAAACAACAGCTGTGCCAGGAAAGAAATAAAAATAGTAAAATCTGAGGAGACTATAATAAAATTTCTGCATTAAGATTTCTGAAATTTTTTGGCACTATCAATATATTTGGTAAATCTGAAGTCATCCAGTAATATTAACATGTGTTAAAATGTTTATACATTCCAAATTTACGTATAATTTAGCTTCCAGCAAATAAACATCATAGCTGGTTTTGACTTCTATTGGTACTTTGATTTTCTTGTTGATTGTGGGTTTGTATGCTTTTGGGTTTTTTTGGTTTTTTTTTTAGATTTTTCAACTGACTGCAACATGCTCAAGTAGACTTTCTAGTCAATTCACCCAAATTCCAACAGGAATTGGTTTATAAATTGGTTCCAACTGGAACTGGTCATTTGGAATTTCCAGCATGGGAAATTATTATTTTATATGTGCCTTGATAAGTACCCTAAATTACAAATTGATGTGTCTAAATTTATGAAGAAAACAAAAGGTACTGCTATCATGTAAATGTTGCACTTGAAAATATCTATATGACTGGGCATCTAATATCCATCTAGCAATAAGGGCATAATGTACTTTTTTTGCCCCCCCCTTTTTTTTTTGCCTCATCAAATTACAACAACCTATAAGCATGGTAGTTGTGCTGGCTTGCCAAGTTAAGATGATTGGGTTATCCTAGCAGTGCTATGGCAAACTGTCAACAGATGAGCGTGATTTTGTTTTGGCAGACTCAGAGCCTGTGGCGAGAGTCATGGCTATATCCCCCCGGTGATCCTCGGTTCCTATGGGGTTTGTAACTGTCCTGGTAGGAGTCAGGGTAATCTTCTTCCACAAGAGGGTAATGATCTCGGCTATGCTGGGAACTGGAAGACAAGCGGTTCCTACTCTTCCGAGCCCGTTCATTGTGATAGTTTTCATCAGAGGTCATTAGACTTCTTCTTTCAACTGGGGAGTTCTCTGTAGAATGGTTGCTGTGTCTCATTCGCTGACTCTAGGAATATCAGAGAGTTCATTGATTAACATCTGCTTTATCCATCTACACATGCTATTGTATACATAACAATAGGATCTGTGCAATTCAATGCTAAATGTGACTTAATTAAGCATAAATGGTCTATTCAAAATACTGGCCTTATTTATTTGAGACATAACATGGAAAGATGCCAGAATGTTGACAGTTTATGAATTTCATTACACTGCATGACTCTGCTGCTTATTAAAAATACAGAAATGAAAGTTAGCTATTGAATGGGACTCAATATAGTTAGGAAGTCTTTATAATTCCATTTCCATTGGAAATGTGTTGCTTGCAAAGGTACAGAATAGCATAAATTATTCTATTCCTCTCTTATATTCATAGAGTCTTTCTCTTCCTAAATCCATATGCTTTACCTTACTCTAACTGAATGTTCCTGTATCTTTTAAAAGTATCTTAATGAAATTATTCGTTGTGTCAACCATAAAACAATGGATTTGTTTCTGCATCTTATATAAATGTGAAATGTGCAGTAATATTCTTTCTAATGGAGCATATGGTAGTTTATAGAATTAGTTAACTGACAGACTTATTTTACTTCTTCAACTGAACTGTCCTGCAAAAATAACCTTTAGCTACAAACTAAACTTCCCTGATGCATTAATTAAAATCAGTATCCTAAGACATTTATTCGATGCCTCAGGAAATAGTGTTCAACACTTTCCCCACTGTGGGAAGACATATGTGTCCTTCACAGGGTCATTTCACTTAAGGAACAGTATTCAGATGAAACACAGGCACAGCTGCATCTCCAGCAAGGGTACTCTTTGGATGGGCCACATCCCATGCCTTAGCCTCAGTCAGGTATCTTAACAATGAAGCACCTTCGGTTATAGGAGGAAAGAAGCCATGGGATAAAGGGTACCACATTAACTCACAAGTGAAACCAGGAGAACCACTCCAGGTAAACGACTTAGGGAGGATAAATCAAAAGGATTGGACTCATACACAAGTGCAACATTGCTTTCCTACCTATATTACAAAAGCTATTGCTTCACACATGCAATTCTCATCACACAGCATACAATGCAGAGCCAAACGTAATTAGTCAATGAAATTGTTATGCTCAGATTAACACATGGGAACAGAAACAAGGCAAGAAATATTCCTGGTGCATACAAATACACTGTACACCACAACAATACATCTCTCATGTTCATTTCCAGGCTCAAAAGCTATTAATTTATGAAGAAGATGTTCTGCTTACAAAGATGCAATTTTGTAGAGGAGTAATATGGTTATAATAGCATTTCAGAGAGTGCCATTTATCTCAGAGTTGACTCTACGTGATCTACAATTATGATGATCATTATAACCCATTAAGACAAAACTAGTCATGATGCAAGAGGACTTGATTGACCACACGTTCCTCAGTCAGCTGGGGGCTTGGCCACATTCCAGCAGCCGCTTGATAAATGGTAAATAATAATTAGTGTAGAAAGAAGACGAGATGTATTCTGCATCATACTGCCTCTGACTCCCTACATTCAGCTATCAGCACAGCACCAGAATAGCAGAAGAATTTCTTTAGTCTGTGCTTGCCCCCAGAGCCCCTGAAGGACACTGACCAAGGCAGGCTCCTGCACATCCAACAAGGTTCAAAGCTTTGTCCCTGTCTCCAATAGAGTGATTCGACTCGACTCCTGTTCACATTTTGTCTTGTGCAAGGTGTGCAAGATGGCAGATCTGGCAGCCTATGGAGCAGAACCAGTTCAGGGCAGCTAAAAGGCCAAGATGCCCCAAATATCTTACTTAACCAGCTACAATACCTAATCCTTTCACACACATATCTGTACAAGGAGTGACACATAGAAATAAATGGCAGTTGCACTGGGTATGCATTTAGTTTCCTGATAAAGTTTAGACACAGGAAGGGTGAACTTATGTAAGTTAATTCCCTTATAAGTTCATACACAGCAAAATTCATAGCAAAAGAATAACTCAAGATAACTTTCTTTATGATAGTTCATGATCAGGCAGCATTTTAGAATGTTTATATCATGTGTTCATATGGTTGCCTCTACAGATTACAAAAAACAGTCTCCATCCTAATCAAGTTCTCTAGAGAATCTTAACAGCAACCTTGTAAAAACACAAGCAAAAAGTGACAGCACCTGTAATCCAGAAATTGCAGTGGGATATGGTGACAATGCTGTGGAGCCCAAATTCCTCCCCAGCAGTGGGGTCATGGGGGTGCTGCTGGTTGTGTGTGTGGCACGCCAGTATGCCTCGAGATACTCTCCCAGGTGTTCACACGCATCCTCTAGCTGATTCTCATCCAATATAACATCAAACATCTCCTGAAGACCACAAGAACATACATCTTATTCCACTTTGGGTTTTGGGCAATAAAACACAGAAGTCCACATAAAGAAACAAGAGCATATCTGATACGTAGTCAAATCTGCAGGTTGAATCAATAGTTTCAAAGTTAGGTGAAAAGCTCCATGTTTATCCATGTTCAAACATGCCAAATTATGTAAAAACTGCAGAAGCTCATTAAATAGTTGGATTCTCATTATTTGGAAAAAACAGACAATCCAGATGTGAAAATGTAATAGGCAAAAATACATATATACATACAAGTCTTTGGTGACACATTTCCATAGAACTGAATTGTACTTAGCTTCAAATTGTACTTAATTTCAACTATGAAGAGAAGCAAGTTAACAGTACTGAAAAAGGAGTTCTGAAAATGTCTGGGCTAATGACGCCATCATTGAAATAAACATTTCCTCTTTCAAGGTAACCATGTCACAAAGGAAAACATTCGTGGAGATGACATCATCTGTTTCATGACAAAGCAATAGACAGATGATGTAGGATCAATATTAGAGCACCAGTGATTGGTGTCATGACAAGGTTGTTTTGTGAAATGACTGAAACAGAGGGGAGGTATTTAACTAGGAAACAGAAATATCACACATAAGTGCTGGGTGTCCATGTTTCTGTTAGCACAGACTTTGCCCAACATCTATTTGTTAATCAAGATGTTGTCCTTCTATTCCGAAGGGCAAGGTGGATCCTCCACATTTCACAAAGAGAAAAGCATACTCCAACTTTGAGAAGCTGGAGTAAAATACCTTCCTCACCCCACAACCACTACATGCACCTCCTACTACCAACTCATTCTACCAAAATAAAATCTCTTGGTAAGGAACCATGACAGGGCTACCGCCATTAGCACTGATTGTAGGAAACAGGCAGGTTGGGGGGGAGGGGGGTCCTCAGTGGATTGATTCTCTTCAGTTTTAGAACAAAGGCTCCTTGAAAAAGAAGTCATCAAAGAACCAACCTTCCCTCCAATATATTTCATCACATTAGTCTACTAAAAGCATCTTTTAAAAATTTGTTTGTTTATTTGAAAGGCAGAAAGAGAAAGACAGACATATACATGTTTTCCATCTGCTTGTTCACTCCTAAAATCCTGCAATAGGCAGGGCTGAGGTCCAGTATAAGACAGGAGGCTAAAACAAAATGCAGATCTCCCATGTTGAGAGCAAGGGACCCACCCCTCAGCAGGAATCTGGAATCAGATGCAGATGTGGGACCTGAATCCAAGCACTCTAACATGGGATGTTCCACCTCGAGCAGCCTCACAACTGCTGTACCAAAAATGCCCCTTCCGTGCCTTACCGAACAACTTGACCCTAAATTATGAATTTGTTTGAAGGTTTTTGAAGCAAGATCAGTAAACTAATAATGGGACGTCAGTCCAAACTGACTCAGGTGTGAGAAGACTCAGCTGAGGCATCTAAAAAACAGAGAAGAACTGGCCTTCAGCAAGAATAATGATCAGATTTCAGATGTTGCCTTTAAAAAAATTTTGTATACATTCACAAAATATTCATACCAATGCAATGCTAAACATCATGGGTACTGAGCAGTACTATGGGTATATAATAGCAAGGAAAACAGATATCATCCTGGGCTCAAAAAACCTATAGCCTATGGACAAGCAGCATCAAAACTTATAATAATCCTGGTCATACTGATACCTTCACTCAGAACAACAAAGGCAGAGAGTGAGCCCATTATTGTTAGGGGCTGAAGCCTACAGATCTAAGTTTAGGAAGAGATCAGGAGATATGGGAAACCTAAACTTACAAGGAAGAGGAAATCATGAATAAGTCAAAGAATTCTATTCTTAGAGGGATAAGAAGAAAACAGATCAGGAGGAGAGAAACAATGGAACCATAAGGCCTGTGAGAGGGAAAACAATTCATTCCTAGAGCTTCTATCAACACATGGCTTTAGAATCAATACTGTGCTTCTGCTAAAGTAGCCCTTGTCTCCTACACTCAAAAGCCTCCCCTCCCAGTTAGGTAAATCATTAGGAGTTATAAATACAGAATCTGAGAGTTGTCCCTATAGGCAATGGCATTGCAGTGCTGACTCACAAGGGTCAAGTCAGCCATAGCCCAAGGAGTATCTGCAAACCAAAGGGCACAGGTCAAAGAAAGGAGGAAACAGCAGCACCAGAAGAATGGGCACCTCCTGCATCAGCTACAGGCTCAGAATTTTTAGCAATTCCAGAATCAGTGACTTGAAGCCCAATCAAAACAAAACAGAACAAACATAAAACCTTTTTTTAAAAGGCAGAGCTAGAGAGAAAGAGACGAGGTTCTTCCATCCACTTCCTTAAATGTCTGCAACAGCTAGGGCTAGACCCCAGCTGAAACCAAAAGCCCAGAACTCCATCCAGTCTCCCACACGGGTGGCAGGGATCAATGCACTTGAGCCATGACCTGCTTCCTCCAAGGCTTGAAATAGCAGGAAGCTAGGCATGAAACAGAGTAGCTGGGACTTGAATCAGGCACTCTCATATGGAAAGCAGGCATCTCAAACAGTGTCTTAACTGCCGTGCCTCAACATTTACCCCTGTTTATATTATTTTGTTTGTGTTCACAGTCATATTGGATAAAAAGGTCTCATTCTGGAATGTCAATTTAGTGTCAACAGTTATCTCCTTGCTTTCGTCAAGTTTCCAGTTAGATAACCTTCCAGGTTTAGCTGGGCTGGATGGATTGTGATGATCCCAGTCAGGACTACAGAGCATCAACAGGAGGGAGCTACGGGATGAGCATCCATCATCACAGAGCGCTATCTGGATGAGGCATTCATCTGTTTGGCTGTTCTACATGTTAGAATGTCATCATTGTCAATGTCATCACATGTGAATGCAAGAGATTTTAACAAAATTCTTCCTTTGTCAGTAATAGAATTTGTACACAGGAGCACTTGACTGTTTGCTGATTCCTTCATCATTTCCAGGAAACTATGCTTTTGCATGAAAGACAGCTATAGGGGTGGAAACTGATCTGAAACTGCTTTTAGGCTTTCAAAAGCATACAGCTTCTGAATGAACAGTGACATATGTGTCTTATTTTCAACTAGGAAGAATTTCACAGCCTGTGTATTTGTAACCATTTCTCTTTGTAACGGTTTGGGAAATAACACAGCTGAGTAGACCAGAGTGTTAGAAAAATCGTTTGAGAAAAAAAAAAGCCCCTCAGTTATACAAGACATTCAAAGAAAAGCAACCAAGTGAATTATGTAAGCCAGATTTGCAAGTTTTTCACAAATTTAAAGATTATAATTTATGTCAGTACCTTACTATGCCATATGTGATATCCACAGCATAGGACATAGATGCATAGAATTGTCTAAACAGCAAACCCTGCAAGTTCTTCTCTCACTGAAACTAGAGAAGGCGCAGTGTGAGATTAAGATAGAGCCGTCTGGCTGGGCTTTGTGGTGCAGGGGACTGGGCTGCTGCTCTGATGCCCACGTCCTATTCAAGGGCATGGCTTGAGTCCTGGCTCTTTGCTTCTGATCTAGTTCCCTGCTGATGCATCTGGGAAATAGGAGATGATGATGCCCCAAGTACTTGGATCCTTGCTACCAAAGTTGGGAGACTGGATGGAGATCTTGGTTTCTGATTTTGGTTTGGCCCAGCTACAGTCATTTCAGCCATGTGGGGAATGAGCCAGCAGATATAAGATCTCTCTCTCTCTCTTGTTCTATCACTCCAACTTTCAAATAAGCAATTTTTTTTAAGAGGAAGTTCTTTTCAAAGAATGCCAGAACACAACCCTTTGGCATTTAAAATAGAATATTTTCTTCAACTGAGATAGAGAGAAATGATGTGGCTGTCAAAGTAAACACAAATCAAAACACACCATCAAAAAATCAGGCACAAACTCAAAGACTTGGGTCCCTGCCACATACATGGAAGACCTGGACAGAGTTCATGGCACCTGGCTTTGATGCTGGCCACACTTGGCTATTGTGGGCATTGGGAGAGTGAACCAGCAAATGAAAGATCTCTCTCTCTCCTCCTCCTCCCCTCCCTGCCTTTCAATAAATAAATAAATAAATAAATAAAACAAAAAAGACATTAGGCTCCTATTCTGAGTAAGATCTTTCAGGACTGAAAATCAAAGCACTATAAATAGACAAGAGTAAAAGACATGCCTCCAATTCATCCTGTGGTCCTAAGAATTAAAATGACAGGGAAGAAAGACTGAAGTTGAATCATCCGCAAATGAAGAAGATTAGCAATGAGTTCCCTAAACAATTTTTTAAAGTATGTTAGCCATTTGTCTGGTTCTCCACTCACAGAGTAATACATAACAATCTTTCCCAGGGAAGCCATCTTAATTAGGACAAACAGCCATCCTGGTTTGTCAGGGATGGAGTTTTCCTGGGAAGTTCCAAGCAAATGGAATAATCGGAAACTCTCATTTTGGTACAATGCTTCTCCAACCCTAGGTTTAGGAATGGAGCTCATTCTACTTATTTATTCTAAATCCCTTTGGCAGTGAAGTTATAAAGAGGGACTGGTAGGTATAAAATACAGACATCTTTGAATGTCTTCTTCTATTTCTTTTTTCAGTGTTTTACTATTTTTATCATAGAAGGTCTTCTACATCCTTGGTTAGGTTTTCCAAGGTATTTAAGATTCTTCTCTGCTATTTTAAAGGGCACTGTACTTACAATTTCTTTCTCAGCCATGAAGTTATTTGTGCACAATAGTGCCATTGTTTTATATTCATTTGTTTTGTACCATGCTACTCTGCCAAATTCTCTTATGAGTTCTAAGTCTCTTGATTGAGTCTTTTGTAATGAATCATGTCACCTATGAACAGTGATAATTTTAATTTCTTGCTCATGATTTACATTCTTTTAATTTTGTTTTCTTGCCTAAAAGCTCTAGTGGGAGGCCCGGCATGGTGGCCTAGTGGCTAAAGTCTTCGCCTTGAACATGCCTGGATCCCATATGGGCACCGGTTCTAAT